GGATGGCCTTGACCTGGGGCTTGCGTCTGGAGTTGGTGCCCTTGGCGTGGGCCTTGGCCAGGGCGCCGGCTATGGTCACCATCGACACACCTGTCCTCGCCTCCTGGATGCACACCAGCACCGAGTAACCAGAGCTATAGGTGCACCCCAGGGTGAGTATACATGTTTGTGATTGACTGGCACAAGTGGTAGTGGCAAACCGTTTGACCCGCTTGGGGTTGTGTTGTTTCTCTCGTCGTGTCCAGAGCAGCCACACGGCCGGTGTTGTGAGGAACGTGTTCCTGCGTGTTGCGTGAGCAACATTGGTGTATTCGTCGAGAAGGGGTGGTGAGGTACCAGAGAGCCATGATCATGAAGATGGCGAACACCTGGTTGGTGAGGACGCCGATGTCGAGGCCCACGTTGAGCACGACCAGCTCCACCAGGCCCTTCGTGTTTAGCAAGAAGCCAATCGTCAACGATTCCCTGGTGCCTCGCACCAACTCAAAGTCAGCCCACCAAGCCTCTAAAAAATGTCGCTGTCCCGCACCTCCACGAGTTACGCAGGAGGCGTGCGGCTGCTGCGGCGCCCCCGATCTTGCCTATCATGGAGGCGAGAATAATAAGCACGACCGACACGCCAGCCTGGTGTGAGTTGATGGTGCTCAGGTCGGTCTTCAGGCCCAGATACGTGAAGTAGAGCGGCAGCAAGATTATCATTATCAACTCCTGCACCAAGGTTGATTGAGGTTGAAAGAAAATTACATAATCGGCTGGTTGAGCACGAACCTCAACTCTTTCGGTGATTCGCAGGGCCACGAGGTGGTCGCGCGGAGTGATGACGCCCAATAGGAATCCGCCGAACATGGAGTGCACCCCTATCATCTGGAAATGGCGAGGTTGGTGTAAATGTTACAATGTTTGAATTCGTAGCCACCGACACAGAACCAGCGTACGTCGGTAACCCAAGCCGAGATGAAGAGTAGAGCAAGAATGAGGATCACGAACTCGTGCTTCATCGTGTTGTGCGAATTGACAGTCCTGTCCCCAAGCACCAGCCAGCCCCCATAATTAACATTTTCTTACAGCCAGGTGCGAAATGGGCACGTACTTGGACAGCCAGGTGAGGATGGGCCGCACGATGATCAACATGACGAGCACGTAGCCGACAAACACCAGCAAGGTGTACAGG